ACTTCAAAAGATACAGTTTTTCATCTTAAATTAATCCTGCTACCCTGAAAGATTTCAGCTCCAGTCAGAAACTAATGCATCCTTCCAGCTGCTTTTGCACTAGAATAGATTAAACTCTTAAGATGCAGAGATTCAGTCCTCAGCACACACAGTAATGTCAGCAGCCTTAGATCCTGGAAGCCTGAGTGACCATCTGTGGGCAGTGACAGCACAAGAGTCAATTGCAACAACCCAGAAATTTGTCTCTCCATCCCCCTCCATTCCTACTGCCAGCTTGTACTAACAAACCACTGTCTCCGGAGGTAAAAATAGCCTATGAACCTCTGGACTGAAAATTACAAGCATCTGTCAGAAGCAGCACAGCATATTTGGGGGGTTGAGGGTGACTGCAAAATGTACCAAGGTGTAAGCTCCTTTTAAAAAAACTCGTGGACACTCAGTTATAAAAACAGTCTGAAGCTTCAGAGCTTCCCATATTGGATTACTGAGGGAGGATGAGAAGATTAATCTGGTTTTCTAAGATAAAAATACACTGAAAAATACCTGAAAAAACTCAGTTGTATTCAAAAACAGACAAACAAAACAAAACCGAAAATAACAACAACATAAAACAAGCACACATATCCTCATCTTTCATAGGCAACATGTCACACCAGTTATTTTCCACAGCATATCTAGTAGTCCAGATTATATGGCAGACCTTTATTTAATCACTTCAAATATAATACAGAGTCTTTACTACATGATGCAAGTCCTTTGAATAAATTTGGTTATTTTTGTCATTTGGTATTGAGCCTTACTGTCAATAGAAGCCAATCCCACCAGGGGAGCCACGACCATATGCCAGAGCTTTTCACTCCTGCCTAATTCTGTGTACAACCTTGTTTCCTCTGCTCAGAAAATGACCTACATATGTAGTCAAAAGATGCTACCAGGAGCACTACATATGTCAGATTCAAATGCAGCCTTTAAAAAAAAATACTAGACATTTTGAGCACAAAACAAGCACTGAGCAGTAGGCTTACATTGTGAAGATACCTCATGTACGGAAGACAGGAGTCAAGAAGATAAGGGACCTAACCAGGCAGGTCCCCCATTGCACTGCAGACTCAGCAGCATGCACGTACTGTAATACTAAGTAACTCTGCTTTCATGAGAGCTTGGGTAAAGTGTACATTAAGTAATACCTGAGCCACACATTCAGCAAGAAAACAAAATCCTGAAAAGCTGATCATTAATTGAGCACCATTTATTCTGCATGCCAAACAAGACAGGAGTATCTAATTAACCAGCTAACGATTTTACATCAAGACAGAGATCAGCTATGGAGAAGCAAGCTTAATGCTGGCACTTCCTGAACCCTGCTCAAACTGCTTTCCTTCCACAGGTGGTATGCAAGTGTTTTGAAAAAGTAACCTGAACAGCTCACTACCTGAAGCATCATGCCAACATCCACCTACACCAGCTGTAAGCCTAAAAACTTCAGCATCCCCAGATGACATAAGGATAAACTCCCACTGCACACAGGTGAGCCGTTGGTAAACCATGGCCAAGGGGTTCAGGCAAATTAGAACATTGGACTGATTACAGGCTAAGAAAGAAGTGATTTTGCCAACATGGCTGTTTATCATTATCCTTTCTAGTCTCTGCTGTGTTTTTAGTCCCAGTGATCACTCTTCTCACTCTGCCTTCTTTCTCAAGACAGCAAGTTTTCAGCAGAAATAACTCATCTCCAGTCATGCCTGGTACTTGCTTTTAGTGTTTCAATTCTGGCCTGACCTCAGGCTTTAGGACAGACCAAACACGAGTAAAGTGAAGGACCCAGCTTTCCTGTGAAACATGCAAACTACAGCAGCCAACACAAGACAACAGGAGGAGGCCTTCACCATTATCAGATGCCAAAGGTCCAAACATGCTTTGTACCAATGACTTTCTTTACTGTTACCAAGCACATGCAATCCAATTTCCTAAATGTTTGGATTTTGCCTCCATTTGCTGTAATGAATATCTGTCCAAGTGCTGCATTCCCGATATCTGGCTCAGACAAATTCCTAAAGAGTCCAGGACACCAGAACTGTTTGGAAATGGGCAGGTGGGAGGGAATAATGGCCATAACCTTGCTCTGAAGCCATTTACTAGAACCGTCATAAACTATGTATTTAGAAATTCAGATCTGAAAAGATCTAAGGATATTCTAAGCTCATGCTAAATATGTTTTCCCTTTTTATGCACTATCTATATTTCATATTAATACTGAGAGGAAGAAGGACAGAAAAGGAACATAACTGTTTCCATCATAAAAATCTATTCAACATTTGCAATAAAAGAGGATTTAGACTTGTCCTTGAGAGGAGGTCTTTATTTCCAGAAACATCTCATTCTGTAATGGCTGTAGAAAAAAGGAGTTTTTCCATTTCAAAACAGCTCTAAGGAAAATGGTAAAAAATGGACAAGACAGACAAATGAGAGATGTTCCTCATTTCAGCATATATCCTGTGGTTTTCATCCTTGAAAGTTAAACTGTATTCCTTTATAAATCACAGTCACGAGAAAAATAGCCATTTTCTCACACAGACAAAATTAACACTGATCCACCCTGCACCAGCAAGGGCAGAAGGAACATCACATCTGCTTTTAGAGCACCACAGTACTGATCATAACACAATAATTAATTTAGTAAATGCAAAAAACCCACATGTATCTGGAGTAGATCTCTTGATGGGCAATTTGCAGAGAACTACAGGAAAGAAACCTAAGAAATGTATAAAATTATACAGAGTTAAGAAGTTTTTATTGTTTTTCAGGGAGGAAAGCATTCGTAACACTACACCACTGCACCCTCACATTCAGCAGTTTGTACTATCACTAAGTGTCACATTACTGAACAGACTTCTTACACCAGCACTAGGAAGTTCTAGCTCACTTTGGGCAGATATAAAATGATAGTCAGAAGTCCCCAAGAGATGAAAGGGAAGAAAAATCTTCCACCAATTTCTAATGCCTTCATGAAATTATCCAGGCTACCTCTGGTGGGGGATTTGATGTAGAGACTGTCCCAGTTTGCTATATGAGAACAGCTTTGAACAACTATAGGTTTTCTCTTTTGTAAAACAAACCGTGTTAGGATTGGACCCCGCAATCTCTGGATTTTCTTGTCATGCTTCAGTCACAGCAATCTGAGGAAAAGCTTTGATTCTTGCCCTAAGCTACGTCACATAAAGAAGTGCAGTCTGTGATTATAAAAAAGAGAAAATATCACATTTTAAGAAGATAAATTAGTGTCTTTGTGCTACAAAATCCTCAGAACATTTCTCATTTCTTACTTCAGTTCCCCAGAGTCTCAGCAGAACCACCACCTCTGCCCCTGATGCGGACAGAGGCCAAAGAGAGATTACTCTCCCCAGGGCACACAAGAGATCTAGGGCTCCTAGTGTTAATTTCTGTGGTTTATATATTGATTATAGTAAGTCCCAAGTCTCATATCTCTCCAATAATTCGAATATCATTTATTTGCACCACTGTAAGACAATTCCAACATGCCTATGTATTGCTACAAAACACACACACACAGGAGTCAAGCAAACCATCCATCCATTTAATTTCTCTACATCCCTGAAGTTGTCATTGTAACCAATTACAGTAAAGGGACATGACAAGCTTTACAAACACAAAAAGACATCACATTTGGTATTTTTAGTATCTTCCACTAAATGTATGTACTACATATTGCCATCAAAATTCCTGCTATCTGTGCAATCTTTTAGTCAAATTCAGTTTTGCCTCCTGAACTTCATAACCAATATTATCAACAATCTGCAGTAAGTCCTGATTAAACCAAAAACATGCAGAGAGGTAGCATTTAAAAAAATGTAAAAGAACCATCCAACCTGGGGTAGGAAAACTGCAACCTGAAGTTGTTGCTGTATGGGAAAACCAGCATGAGCCTTCATGGATGGAGTCAATTTTATTTCTGACAGCCCTTATTATGACTCACTAACTTTTCTTCCTTAATAAGGCCACAATTTGCATCAGAGAAAGTGTGTATAGAACAAGCCCGAGGACTCAGAAAATTATCCAATGGCTAAGAAACAACTTTACTACACAAAGGAAAATAATTTTAGTTCTCAATTTGTCCTTGTGCTTTCAGAGAGAAAGGGATGCCAGATTATACCTACTATAGCCCAAGGATTCTGATTAACCTCATATAGCCCATCTTAGATGATGAGTATAACTCAATTACTCCTAGAAAGGATGGCAGCTGAAGAGCAACCCAAATTTGAGGGACATTTAGGATATAGTCCGCACAGAAACCAGCCTCATAGGTCAGAGGAAACAGTCCTGATCACTGAAAGTTCTTCGGGACAAGTAAAAAGTTTTACAAGAACCCACTGCTCGCAACCCATATAGGAAGGCAAATAAAGAGCAGCAATTCACGTTCAGGAAATCCAAAGCCTTCCAAAGCAAGCTTTAACTTATTCAGACCAGGGAGATGACTACCTCATTTTGTCCCAGAGGCATTCCTTTAGTGCCCAAGTAAGGCTATGCAGGGAACCAGCAGAGAGGTATTTACAGTTCAGAAAGACAGGCGGGATCTCCTCGCCCCTACCTTCCCAGAACCCCCTCAAATGCAGAGCCTGAGGTGTGCACTGTTGACACTGACAGACCACCCTAAAGATGAAACTGCAGAAAGGATGCGAGACCATTCTCCTCGTACAAAAACCAGACAACTCTCCCAGCAACGGGGCAAGCACACACACTGCGCTGCGATGGCCACAGGACCCGCCCCGGACCTCGCTCAGCCAAGCGCTCCCCTCGCCAGCTCCCCAACCTCGGGCACTCCGCAGCCACTTCGCCTTCTGCTTCACCGCAAGGGACTTGCGGGCGTGCAGGGACGGGGGACTCCCGGCTCGGCTAAACCTGCCCGGGGGGAGCGCTGTCCCCGCCGGCAAGAGCCGGGTCCCCGCGGGGGAGGGAGCCCGGCGGGGCGGTGCGGCACTCACCGATGCCCAGCCCCACCACCACGCGTCCCGCCAGCAGCGTCTCCTTGTCGCGGGCGGCGGCCAGCACGCCGGACCCCGCCGTGAAGAGGCCGCTGGCCAGCAGGATGCAGGGCCGCCGGCCGCACAGCCCGTTCAGGACGCCGCCGGCCAGGGCGGACAGGGCGGCGGCGCCCACCGTGCCGGAGACGAGCAGCTCCTGCCAGAGCGCGTCCAGGTTGAGCTCCCTCTTGAGGAGGAGCAGCGCCCCCGACACCACGCCGGTGTCGTAGCCGAAGAGGAAGCCCCCCAGGGCGGAGAAGACCGACACCACGTAGACGAAGCCGGGGGTCTCGTCCTGCTGGAACTGGCGCCGCGCCGCCCGCTCCAGCTCTCCGCCCGAAGCCGCGCTGTTGAGGCTGGAACAGGACTCGGCGGCGATGAGGCTCCGCTCGCCCGCCGCCGCGCCCGAGCCGGCGGACCCGTCCGCCTGCCGCCGCCTCTTCTCGCCCATCAGGTTGCTCAGGCTCCGCAGCGTGTACTCCACATTATCGCTGGCCTTGCGGGACATGGGACGGCCGCGGCGGCTGCCGCCCCGACCGGGGGAGGGCAGGGGACTGAGGCGGGCGGCTGCCGGGCTACTCAGACTAGGGTGGCGGGGCTGCCGCTGCTGCCGACGCTGCCCGTCCTCGGCGCGCCCGCCCCTCTCGGGCCGCGCTCAGCTGGTTCGCATCGTCCCCCCCGCCACCGGGCGGACTTGAGGGGAAGTTGCCGCCGCTCCCAGCGCCCGGGCGGAGCTGGAGGCGGAGGCAGGCGGGGACAGCGGCGAGAGCGGCCCGGCGGGCGCAGGGGGCGGGCCCGGCCGCCCCATCCGCCGTGCGCGGTACGGGGCAGGCGCGGCCCGGAGCGCCTGCGCACGGAGCGCCCCCGCCGCGCTCTGTCGCGGGCGGTGCGGGCGGGCCGCGGAGGTGGTGGTGTGAGCTGGGGCTAAGAAGGAAGTCGGGATGGAAGCCAGGGAGGAAATCCTGGGCGGGTGGGCGCCACGCAAGCCCGGGGCCGGTCCCCGAGCCTGCGGAGCTGTTCCTGCTGGCAGCCCCCGTCAGCATGAGGTGGAAGGGGCCGCTGGCCGCGGCTACCCTCCCGCCCCCCGGCCGGTTTCCGCACTGCCTGGGGAGCGCTGTCCAGGTGCCGGGCGCGCGTAAGGATCGCAGTTGGCTGAATAAGTGGATCGTTTGAAGGGAGACAGCGTTCAGCGTCCGCGTTTGTCAGTTTCTGAAGCGCTGGGTGGCACTGGCTGTGCTGCTGAGCAGGTTTTCACTGCTCGGATCGCCTGGCTCTCTTCGTCCAAGCTCAGCTTCTGGGACCATTTCAGATCGTTAGTGTTGATTGATTGTCCCGACCTCCCTTGCTCTTCTTTTCCGAGTGTTGAACAGGAAGGGCCCTGGGGCTGCACAGCTCCAAAGAGCCTCTTGGCACGGCTGCCTTTGCAGTCGCTGGCTGTCACTGCAGGGGCTCTGAGCGAGCCTGGCCGCCCCCGTCCCTGGCAGCTGCACGGGCAGCTCGAGCAGGCGCTGCTCTGCCACCACAGAGCGTGGCAAGAGCACTGGGACAGGCTGCTCGGGGACCTCTCGCTCCCTGGAGACACTGAAAACCCACCTGGACGTGTTCCTGTGTAACCTGCTCTAGGTAACCCTGTCTTAGCAGGGGCATTGAATGTTCTCCAGAGATCCCTTCCAGCCCTAACAATTCTGTGATTCCGTTACCAAAAAAGGGACATTTCCAGCAGTTGTTCAGAGGGACAGGTTTCTTACCATGTAGGAACAGAGTTTGGAACTTGTTTTCATGTTTGTGCTTGAAGTAGAGCATCATGTTTTGCTAATTCCACCTTTAAACAGTTGTTTTGGGGGTTTTTCACCGGGATGCAGAGCCTGGTGGATCCTGTCAGCAGGGAGAGGTGCCCGGCTCCGTGAGGACCAGGCAAGCTTTGCTGCCGGTGTGCATGGAAGGGGGCCTTCCAGATGCCATGCAGACCTTGGGAGAAAAGATTATATCATAATACCACAATATTATAATTTGTACTTCTTGTATATATATATATGTTAGCACTTATATGGATAAAACAGAACTTTCTATCTGACTTAACTGTCTTTTGTAGAGATTCTCATAATGAGGCCAGCCAGTAGCCAGAGAATTTTGGTAATTAGCTGGATCAATTACCAGCCCACACCCTGTGAGCAGTACTAGTCATAGCCATGTGAATTTAAAAATTAGAAGAGGGAGCAAAGTCCAACATGGCCAGCTGCACACAGCCTCTTTGGTGGTTTGCCTCTTCCTCAAAGCAAGCTGTGACATACTAATACTGATTCAGATAATACCAACTAAATAAAATAGCAAGCTGTAGTTATGAAAATGAATTCTAATAACAGTATAATGATGTCTATATAGTTAATCCAGTTAGGGACAGATGTGTCAGTAGATTTCTAAATACAATAGGTCAGCTTGCATGTTTGAGCATGGGAGAAGCCTGAACTAGATAGTAATTAAATGCATGTTAACATTCAGTTATTTTTAGTGAAGATTTGGGTAACGTGGTATGATTAGCACAGGGCATTCCTTTTTTGGTAAAGACCAACAGGGGCTGACTCAGTACTAGAGCAAGGAACAGTTCCAGGTTCTAGCATCAGGAATGAAGTTATCATAGAATGTGCTGAGTTGGAAGAGACCCACTGGGATCATGAAGCCCAACTCCCAGCCCTGCACAGCACCATTCCCAGGAGTCACAGCATTTGCCCAAGAGCATTGTCCAAACACTTCTAGAACTCTGTTGGGCTGGTGCTGTGACCACAGCCCTGTGGAGCCTGTTGCAGTGCCCAACCACCCTCTGGGGGAAAAGCCTTTTTTTCTAGTATCCAGCGTACACCTCCCACAGCACAGCTTCAGGCCATGCCCTCAGGTCCTATTACTGGTCACCACAGAGAAGAGATCAGTGTCTGTCCTTCCTCTTGCCCTCATGAGGAAGTTGTAACTGCACTGAGATCTCTCCTTAGTCTCCTCCAGGCTGAACAGACCAAGTGACCTCAGCACTCCTCACATGGCTTCTCAAGGTCCTTCACCATCTGTGTTGCCCTTCTTTGGACACTCTAATAGTTCAATGTCTTTCTTATATTGTCGTGCCCAAAACTGCCCCCAGCACTGGAGGTGAGGCTGCTTCAGAGCAGAGCAGGACAATCCCTCCCTTGCCTGGCTGGTGATGCTGTCCCTGATGCCCCCAGGACACTCCTGGCTGCCAAGGCACTGCTGATTCACGTTCAACTCCCCATTGACCAGGACCCCCAGGTCCCTTGCTGTGGTGCTGCTTTCCAGCCTCTCATTCTCCAGTCTGTCCGTACATCCAGGGTTGCCCATCCAAGGCACAGAACCTGGCACTTTCCCTGCTTGAACTGCTGAATGCTGGACATTTTGTTCAGAAGGACGAGAGACGGTATCAAAAGCTTTACTGAAATCCAAATAGATTACATCAACCATCTTCACTTGATCAAATAGGTGGGTTACCAGGAACTGTCCCCTCAGGTCCAGCAGTTCTCCGTGAGCAGACTGGTTTCCATTTCTACAGCAGGAGAGAAGCTGTAATCTTCCAGAAGTCTCCAGATTTGCCTGCCAAGCACAACACTCACTAGTTGTTTTTTTTTATGTAAGCCCCAAATAAAAATGTGGGACACAGTGCATGCAACAGAAAGCATTTACACCAAATCCCTAGCCAACTAGAAGGAATGCTTTTACAGAATATTGTCACAACAGCTGGCTGTCACAAAAACAACCTGTCTTTTTAACAGCCACCTCAGATGCTGGAGGCATTCTGTATGTTGCTGTTAATAGAGACTCAAGAGAGCTAACAAAAAGATTTTATTTTTTCCATTGATGGCCCAACTCAAGCACAAACAGACATAATTTCTTATCAGATCGTGCTGTCAAGCTTCTCTCTTAAAAGGATTCCCTGGAGAAACAACAAAAAGTTCAGGTGTGAGATGTGCTACACTGAAGACTGACTTCATGAGAAAGACAGAGGATTTGTTTGGCTTGCAGATTTTCATTATTGTGCTCATCTCTCCATAGTATTGCATTTCATGATAAAAGCTGACTTATAAATGATTTCACATTAATTCAAAATGCAGTAAGTATGGTTAGTAATCTAAGACAGGGCATCAGATTCAAAGAAGGATTTGAGTGGATTTTAGGTATGATTTGCTTTCAAGAGATTGAATATTTAATTGAAACACTTTAGATTTACAGCACTTTCTCATTCTCTCCTTTAAGGTGTATTTGCACAATTGTTTGCTGAGATGTTGTGAACTAAATCAAAGAACTGATCCAGGTTTCAAAAAGTCACATTTTTGTGTTTCACAGAGAGCAGGAATAATCACTGGATTTTACTGCTTTTATGTTGTTGATACATGGCATACATCAGAAAATGTCTTCCAGAAAACTGAGGAGTGTGTACATGTGCCCAGAACTCTGCCAGAACAGAACAGAGGAGTAAGCTCCTGTCTTTGCAGACACTCAGAAGTGGGTGGATGAGTGCTGAAATCTCCTGGGGACTTCAGACCAGATTCACAGAGAGATGCTGTAAGTCTGTTGTGTGATAGTCTGATGGTCAGTAGCCCCACCCAGCAAGTGGGAGCCAGATTCATGGATTTGCTTCAGCCCAGGACTCAGGACCCAGGAAATCTCTTTCTCACCTCTCAAGAAGATTATAGGTTCAACAGGGAAAAATGCATTCTTAAAGGAAGTTGGGTTGATAGGCAGACAAGAATGTAAGAGCCATGAGGTTAGACAGACAGTGAGTCAGAAAAGGATGTGATTCTGTGGCAAAAGATCAGCTTTATCAATGATGGTTATATTATTTACATAAAACTAGTTGCACTTAAAAAAAAGTAATACAAGGAGCAAATCATCAAACCAAGAATCCTTCCCATCTTGGTGCTGTGGGGGTCTTTAGTCTCATGTGGGTTTCACCAATATAGTGTCCAACCCCATTTGTTTTTAGGTTTGTAAACTTCTTAATTTCTTATTTGTTACTGTTATGATAACTTAAACTCTGATACTGCTTTGATAGTCAATTATTTTGCCACGAGAAATACTACTGTGCTGGGCTGGGGGAAGTCACCTAGCTGAACATGCAAAAAATATTAACAAATTAAGCTTATAAGAGCAGTTCATATAATGTCTGAAACTTTGGAAAGCAATGATAGTAACGACAGAAATTTTTCTTAAAAGTTAAATTTCCTTGCGGTCTCAAGGTTCAGAAACTTTTTCTATACACAGAATTTTACATTATCAGTGTGCCATGGTGGAGTACAACTTTTTATGAAAAGTATTTCTTCCTGCTGAGAAGACAGAAACCCTTGCCCATGATCACACCAGTTTGTTGTGTTTGCAGATATGTATGAGTAATATAAAGTTGAGACTGTAAGGAATTCTCTAAAACAGAAAAACAGAATCTGAAAACAGGAGTTTCTAAACTATTTGAAATAAGCAGTGCATTGCCATAGAACTTCCTTTTGTTCCAAAGGT